GAAATGTCTTCGCAAACATTTTTTTCATTCTCCAAGAAAGAATCGTATAGAGCGCTAACTACTTGGCACGAAACGTTGGACATTGCTCGTGAACGAGGTTGTATTTTAGTTTCGACCTGACGATAGGTGGCGTTGTACCATTACGAAACATGATTGCTACCAACGAAGTTATGATCCAGCAGCGTGCTGCAGTGAAATTCGTGATGAAAGAGTGCGAAACTCCTGCCAGGCGGACAAATGAAAAAGATGTTCGGTGATGATTGCGTGTCACGAAGGACAGTATATGGCTGGTTTTAGGTGTTTTAAAGGTGCATACGGTGTCTTGCCAGGTCAGCTCGTCCACGCGCTCGCGATTCGGATCGGTCATAGCGGTGGACAGCCTTCCAGATCCGTGTCACTGCGACGCGGCCACCTTTGAAACGCCTGCACCAGTCATGCACAGTCCTTTGTGGCATGGAGTCGTCACCAAACGTCTTCATTCGTCCGAAGATGCTGACGGGAGTTTCGCACTCTTTTCATCAAGAATTTCGCCATACCACGCTGCTCCATCATAACTTCGTTAGTAGCTGCCATGCGGTTCTTTCTTGCGGAATAAAAAAAATGTTTACGAAGACTTCTCTGACACGCCTTGCATTTATACATATTGATTGATCGGATAATAATTGGAGAAACTGCATGGAAAGGCATCTATCTGAAATAAATGACCTGGATGAATGAATTTTAACGAGAGCCGTTCGATGTGGCCGATGCAACCACGGCACGGAGGCGGATCCTCCACTGCTCGCACCCTCATCCTGCATTGCTCGCACCCGCTTCAGTCCATTTTTTCAAGCATCCAACTTTTCATTAAGAAGTTGCTCGTTGTCAGCTTCACGAGGGCGAAATTTAATTGCATTTTAGAAGTCTGTTGAGAGCGCCTTAGCCCATGCATCGTGTCGTGTTTCCTGGAAATAATTTCAGTAAAAGCATTAATGTCATCGTTAGACGATGCGGGTCTTCTTTTGCCATTCCGTGCATATTCTTTCCTCCTACCCCGGGAGCAGGGGAATGAAGGGGTTTCCGAGAAAGCTTTTCGTGTCAATAGACCGGCCGTGGAAGATCTTCCGACCTTCTTGAAAGGGAACTCGAAGGTACCCAAAGAGGGAAAATCAAGTCAAGAGAAGAAAAGTTTACTGGCTTTCGAGTGGTTCTTCGAATAGCGCATGACGGTTTCTAATCTGATGTGGACTCCGAAGTTGAGGATATTGATGAGGACGCAGAATGAGGTGCTCTTCGTTCCCTGCTGAGATTTCCCCAGATAGTGCTCCAGGTTTAATTGAGATGTCTTCGGGGCATCTTCAATGCGAAATTTTCCCTCGCAGGGTTTTCCAATTTACTCCTCTCCGCAGGGCAGTCAGTTTCCGTGAATGACATATTTATTTGAACCCGGATTCTTGGAGTGGTTTGGGTTCTACCCCTCGGGACAGGGCTGGAAAGTAAGCAATCGAGGGCCGTGAGAAGAGCAGACCTACTTGAGGAAGGGGGGAGTGGAAAAAAGTAGCATTATGTGTGAGTGTGTACATATAATATATAGCATGATGACATGAGAGGGTCCTTAGTGCCCAATAGCCCTTGCATCATACCGAGGCGTGTGTGCTCGGTTTTTTTTTCCCCCTCTCTTTCTACGTTCCGTCACAATGTGATTGTGTGACTTATGCCAGGTCCAGGTTACGTCATGGGATCCATTGTCTCGTGACGCCTCCGCTTCTTGGGACTTTCCTTCTCAAATGACAACTGCGAAAGAATTTTTTAAGCCTTTGCATTGTGAAGATACTGAGACGTGTAGGAACGTGTACGTATTATCAGGATATGCATGGGCGTCAGTAGAAAAAAAGTGAAGTGTCAGTGCCTGTCAGAAGGGATGAAAAAAAAAAACATTTGAGTAAGAAACTGCAATAAATGTGCGTGAGTGTCCTTATTGCAGAGTACATTCAGACGGAAACAGAAACCTTTGGTTTGAAGAAATAAAGGATGTAGAAGAATGGCTATTGTTAGCTTGGAAAGTTTCGTAGAGCTCTCTCGTTGTCGAAATCGCCTTTTTTCACTATGTCCTTAAGCATTGTGAGATTTTTCCCCTAGCTGCCACAGTCCATCACAAAGAGACTATGAAAAATGAGACGAGAGGAGGGCATTGTGTGAGAGGCATAGAATCGTGTGCTTTGAAATGAGGCGGAGTGGGGAGCTCATTAGGCGGCTAAGCACACCCTAAGACCAGTCTAGCTCGTCGAGTACTGTCTGGGCCTGGGTCCTTTAGGCGGGAATGCGAAGTAAAGCATGTTATTGGATTCCTTGGTGGAGTGGAGGGGGAGGGAGGGCTGAGTATTTATGGTGGATCTACCTACTCCTCTGAGGAAACATGGAAATTGTTTATGTTTTATGGAGGAATTTATTTTAAAAAGATAGAATGCAATGCAGCATGCTACAGCGATTACAAGATCATCTGCGCTCTCCTCCTAGAACAGAGGTATTTGAATTTAAAATGACGTGTTTCTGTTCCCTTTTCATTGCGAAATACACGGTTTCATATCGAACAGAAGCAAAAGAACAAGGAGAATGAGGTACGGGGTACTCCAAAAGCCACAGGCACGTTTAGAAAAACCATAGCCTCAACAAAGGGATTTAAACTTCGTCTATAGCAATGTCAGAGTTTCTCAGAAGTTTTTTTAATGACCCAAATTTTCTAACATTTGGAGCTCCCCCAATTTGTAGGAGTGTTATGTCACAATGTGTCCATGTGACCATGTGTGTATGGATCACTCGTGCATTCAGGTGGCCTTATTTTTAACGACCCATTTGACTGAACGAGAAAAAATATGGTATGTTATTTTCCCAGGATTCACGGTCACTTTTTGGTTTCGGGATGATCTTGAAGAAGCAGTAACTATTTGGAGGGGAACCTATACCTGTTTTAAAGAGTTTTTCCGTGCCCTGAAGCGCAAAAGGAAGCCAGACTCGAACCTTGAATGGATTTAGCGAGAGGGAATCGCGGCCAACACTATCCCCCAAGACATGGAGCGACTTCACGGTTGTTTTCATGCGATTTCAGTGAAACGCGGCTGCTCTTCGACTCTCAAATCTGATTTGAGCCTGCCAGGCTTTTTTTTTGTTTTTTTTTTTTTTTTTTACGGGGGGGGGGGGGGGGGGCTGTTATATTTTTAACGGGGAGGGGGGGGGGGCGCTGTTATGCAGGTATACAAGTAAGCTCAAGAGTGCGAAGAGCCTCTTGAGACTGCATTAAGTGGATCATCGCGGATATCATCACTGAAATGCGCAGTTGAGTCATTTAAAATAAGCCCACATGAATGCCTTAGTGCAGGGGTCTCAAACTCGCGGCGACCTATGGGATGTTTCCATGGGAATGCGACCCGCGGGCCGGGAGTTTGAGACTCCTGCCTTAGTGCATCCATAGGCAGTGTAATTCTTTTGAGCATATTGGGCAATATCGTTTGACTAATAGCAAGAATTCAAAGTGGCTGATTTTGAATTATGACTAGTTCAAAGAAAAAGTGAGATACTATGTTACTGCCATGACCAAAATATGTAAGCCTTTGTTTTTTATTTGGGCCATGAATTTTTGAACGTGATAAGGACTTTTGGAAGACCCTGTGTGAAGCAGCTGGATTCGAATGTACTTAAACGTGTCTGAAGTTAGTGAAATCTGTCCTATGTTTTTTGCCTCACCCGTAATCTTGTTTTCCGGTGAACTAGATCGATTATTAAGCAGTGAAATCTCTGTCTTCTCAGTTTGAAATGAAAGTTAATATCATGACTTGCATTGTGTATTTGCCGTGACGGTGGCACAGTTGGTTGAAGGGGAGACTAGCTATTATATTGCTTTCGTTTCGTGCTGCTTCGCTGCCACCGGTTGCATGCCGTATGTGCAGAATGTCGTGAGAAACGTTAACACTTCAGAAAGCATGAAATTAATTAATTGTAAGTAACATTTTCATACGATTTGAGAATTTAAAACTATGACGAAGAAATTTGAAATCTTACCAAATGGATATCACATCCCAGCAGTTCTCCCACTCGACCGTCCCGACGGAAGTTGAGCGCATTCACCTCGTTTAATTTCATGAAGGAAGTAACGGAAATTGACGGCGGTAAGAAGGTGGAAGCTATTTACGAAAGCGCAAATTGTGAAACGGGAAATAGTCTTGAATAAGAGCTGCAACGTCGGGAAGAGTCGGGGAACTAGTCAATTTTTGTTTAAATCCTAAAAGAAAGAAGCTGAAGAGAGATTCGGCATTAAAATCCGTGATTCATTCATCATTTGTTCACTTGAGCTGGAAAATTGATGCGACAGAAAAGGGACGTCCCCTTCTGCCCAACGACTCATATTCCGGAGGGTAAAACCATTTCTTAACGCGAAAAAAATTGGGAAATACGACGGATTGAACGAGGAGTAGGCGAGAAGGGAACAGTAAGGGCAGAGGGGCAGAAATAAGGACTAGGCAAGAGGGTAATGGTGAGAATAGGAACAGAGAACGAGCAGGCGAGAAGGGAGTGGATGGAATAGGAGGCAGGGCATGAAAGAAGGAGGTGGTGAAGAATGGGAGTCGGCGAGAAGGGAATGGGCGAATCGGGGCACGTGGGGCGTGACTGGATGTCGTGCGAAATTTCCACCCTATCGCCCTCTCTCCCATCCATATTGTGAGACATCAGAGAGAGGGAGAGAAAGAAAGGGATCCATACGATCGCGGTTACGTCATCTCGCTGTCTGGTCTTGCCCTCTCACGTCATCCTGTTGCCCTCGCGTCATACTGTCCTCTCGTTGGATTTATAAGTACAGGGTTCGGACGTGACACACGCCCCCCCCCCCCCCTCCCCTCCACCGGCAAAACAAAAAATTTGTCGCGTCCAATTCGATGCATCACGCACCTTTTCAGTTAAAGATTTGGCACGGTGCAATAGATCGGTTTCAAAATCAAATCCCATCTGGCTCTCTTTTTCCCTTGCAGATCTTCGAGCTGCGACGAGAGAAGCCCACGAAGACCGCCGAAGTCGTAAAGATGGAGTCCTGACCTCCCGTTCTTATTCCTATATCACATTTTGTAATAAAAGTTTTTTGTTTCCCCGGTCAAAGGCCGGCGACGATATTTTTCTCCGATTCCATTCCGAGTCGCAGATGCAGTGGGCGAAGCGGCGTTGCCCGGTTACGCCCCATTTGCTATTGCCACGTGCCGGCGATCGAGAGACGATGGGAGTTCGCACCGAATGCCGATCGAGGCGTCGAGGATCGTTCGCGTATGAATAAACATATGGGAATAAATATGATATTGGTATCAGGGACGGCCCCGAGGCCAATGTCAGCGCGTGGGACGGGGGATCGATGTTTCCATTGCCCCTTCGGTTGCCCAATCCTGAATCCCATTCAGACGAGAATAAAAGTCATTTCAAAAATGGTTTGATGAATCCCGAGATTTTTTTCGTTGTAAAGACTTTCGTCAAGGACGAATCTGGAGGCCGTTTCGCGCCCTGAGGGTAAAAGTACGGAAAGAGGGCAGAGAAAAAAAAAAGTTGATGAACCTGATGTGGAGGCGCAGTAGTGCAACTCCATTAAGAACTCTTCTGTCATGTGAAGGAAAACCGGGGACGGTGATGAGGGATTGCGTCATCCGGTCTGATAATAATGTGATAACCATAAAATTCATTCCCTTCGTCGAATTTCCTGCTCGAGGATTTCCCCGTCTGTTTTTCCCCTCGGGGTAATCCGCGATGTTTGCCCTTGCGATTAAGAGGATCGACGACGGATGATCGCACTCGGAATCCACTTTCACCGCGATTCATTCATGGCGGGACAAGAAAAGCCCATCACCCCGACAGAGCAACGTGATGGAGGCCAAAACGGTCTTTAAAAGGGGTCTGGCCTGATTTCAGGATCCCGGGAAGGGAGTCTCGCGTTACATCACCGCGCGAAGATGATGTTCGGCCTTGGCAGGGATGTGATTAGACGGGCAGATATTGAGTAATCGGATGGGATCTCGGTATTTTCTCCCCTTTCGGGTCAATATCATGCCACGTACGTGTGGGTTCAAGGGGGGAAAGGTGGCGTATGGCGTGTGTAAACACGACGTAGATAAACACAAACTAGTATACGTAGACATACGCCTTTGCTAAGCTACGTATAGCGTGCATAATTACACGCAACCCGTTAAGCTGGCCCCCGGCCAGCGAAGCTCCCCGATATTTTGTCAAGTTCTACCCCGAATAATGCTAAATTGGAATATTTTGGCAACGGTCCAAAGGCTGTGACCTTAGACCCCCAGATTCCGTGTGAAGGTTGCTGATAAATGTGGAAATTTAAGACCAAATAGCCAGTATTGCTTTGTACAGGGATGAACTTTTTTTTGCAAATTCCAGCCTATCAATTTTGAATTTTAAAAATAATCGTTCTATTCAGCCAAATTCGTTCAGTGCAATTTTTTTTTCATTACCAAGATGCAAAGAAATGCAGCGAAAACGTGTTCAAACTGATTGCATAAGAAGTAAGCCCCATGAAATGCGATGTGCAGTCCATTAGTAATTATCGCTGTCCACTTTTGATCGATAAATAGAAAGCGGCAAAGTTCAAAGGGTTGGACGACCTGGAAAAGGAGCAAATAAAGGAAAGCCGACATTCCTCCGTTCTTGCTTAAGTCGAGTTCCTTTCGTTCCGGCATCAGATCCCAGATTTCTTGTCGTTCGCAGTTTGCAAAAGGTCGGGAACTTCCGGATCGAGACCGCCGATGGGGGATTTTCCGACTCTGGAGACCTTATCGGCGCGGTTGGACTCATTATCGGCGCGGCCGAGTCACGAACTCTCCTCTGAACTGTGTCGCGCCGATAGGCTTTTGGCTCTCCAAAACTCAATTTTTTTTTTCCGCTGCGAAATCCGCCCCGAGCCTCGAATGAATTTTTTTTGCGGTTGAGAAAATAAAGATGAAGCCCGAGGGATTGGCGGAAGGGGAGATCAGAATTGCAGATTTGCATTATCCCTGGAATCAATAGATCATCTCCCTCTTCCAAAGCCCATCGGCTGCTTTCATAAGGACTTGGAAATTTAACTGGCAGTTTCCTCCATTTTAGTCGCATTTGCTCCTCCGTGCACATTTCCATCACAAATGTGCATGCTAAAAACTCGATTTTTGGTTTTCGTTATTTATTTATTTATTCATTTGTTATATGCACACTTTGCCCGCTGTGCAATTTGTGTGCATTTTGTCGTTCGCTCGTCGCATTTACCAATGTAGAAAATTATGTTGTCCGTTCGCCATATAACGGTCAATGGACTGTAATTTCGTCGATTGGACTGGGATATTGACTGCCCTGGGCTTAAAGAATAAATAAGTTTTGCACAGAGTGAGTACGAAAAAGAATAAAATAAATTACATCAAGATGGAAAGTATTTACTGAAGAATTGGTTTGCGAACAAGCCAAACAGTCAGGATTCCCCTAAGTCGATTGCCCCTTGCCCCCTCTGCCCCCCCTGCCCCCCCCCCCCCCCCACCGGGGCCACCAGCACGACTCGAATCTCAAATTATGGGAGATTCGATCTCGAAGCATTGCTTCACTCTTTCATCTGATAGAGGATAGAAAGGCAGGTGGCAGCGTCTCCATTCAAAGAGGCTTTTCACCGGCTTCCTTACAGGCTATTCACCGGCTTTTTACAGGCTTTTTACAGGCTTTTCACAGGCTTTCCTTCTCGCTCCATCTACCAGATGAAAAAAAAATAGCCGAGATAAGAAGAGCAATCGCCGTGAAATGCACGGGGTCAGCGCAGAACGATTTCGTGTTTAATTATTTAAATCCCTGGTGATATAAAAAACTATACCGATTTAAAAATAATTTTAAAAAAAACGAGTAAGTCGATTCCTCTTAACCGTCGGTTAAGAGGAATCACCGGAGAATTCGACGAAAACCTTTCTTGGACTTAATCAAGTGTGAAATCCATGTTTGTTTTTGAGCCACCTTCAAGGTCTGCTTGGAAGGTGGCCTGAAACGGCAGGTTTTCAAGATGTTTCAACTTAAAAGTCTTAACCTAGGAGCCTTTCATGAATTTTTTTATTGGGTCAAGGAGGCAAAATACCTCATAAGTAGTAAAATATGTATAGTAATGCAAATAAAATCCTGCCAATAATACTGCACAAGTCAAACAATATTATTAATATACCCTTGTAATACTAAGTATATAGTACAAGTAAAATACCACAAGTTAAATAGTGCAAATAAAATAATATAAATAAAATAATACTGAGAAAACATTACAAGTAAGATGGTATGATGAAAAAAGGGAATCTTAAGAAATGAAGCGCAAAAAAATTAAAGAGACGGAACAGACGGATTTCGTCAGAGAGAGCAGTGATCCTTCCCTGCCCTTCCCACGGAGGAGGGGACAAAGGGTCAAAGGTCACTCGGCATCCCTCTCTCGCGTCACACCCCGATGAACCAGATATACCCTGCACGTTGCGTTGCGCCTGTTTGGGCAATGGCGCAACGACCCCGAGCCTCTTCCGCCTTCGGTGCGGGGGAGGCGCCGGAAGGTGGAATCGGGTCTTCCGCCTTCTTTAAATATTACATTTTCTTGGTTTGAGTTTTAAAGCAAATTAGACGCTCTCAAATTTAATATTTTTTTTATAGAAATATATATTATAAAAAATAAAAAAAATTTTCTTCACAAATTTAATTTTTAAGTTTGATATATTTTCTCAAAATTTAAGTTTGAAAATTTTGTGGAATAAGCTTTCTCAGTTTAAGTATGAAAGGCACGAGTGAATCGAGGGCGGTCGAACGGGAGGGGAACAGGGCAATTCTGACAAGGCAATTAAAGCGCGGCATAATTGGATTCCACTTTCGTGCCAATTTGTGGGCGACGGGAGGCGGAAAAATCATCGGGCGTCGCACACGATGGCACATGATAATGGCGGCCTAATTCCTCCTCCCTTTCCATTGATGACCGGGCGGGTAACCGGAAAAACGGTCGGTATCTGCGGTCGACCGGGGGTCGGGGGTCGCGGGGGACTCTCGAGTGAAACCTTTCGAGCGGAATCCTTTCGAACGAAATCCTTTCAGAGGAAAAGGAGGAAGTGCATCTCGCATTTCCTGGGTCCCCTCTTCTGCCGGACGCATCGGGACGCCTCGCACCTCTCGCGACGAGAAAAAAACCCGCAGAAATCAAAGGGGAATTCGAACGGACTCGAGGCTCTCGTCCTCGACGAGGAGCGCCGCGTCCTGCAGCGGGAATGCCAGCCGCGGCAATATCACGAGCCTCCTTTTCCTCAGCGGGAATACCAGCCACGTCTCCTCCGCTGGCAATATTATGAGCCTGCCTGTCATAGATGGAATACCAACCATGTCACCGACGACGAGCCTCCCTTGCATCTCTTCCTCGTTCTCACCCGACCGGACCGGAACCGGTCATCGAGGCAGGCCGTCGGGACAGGCCGCCGGGACCGGTCATCGAGGCAGGCCACCAAGACTCGTCGTCGGGACGGGCCGCCGGGACCGGACGTCGGGACGGGCCACCAAGACTCGTCGTCGGGACGGGCCGCCGGGACCGGACGTCGGGACCGGGGAACGAGAAGGCACCTGTCGACACGATGATGGACACTTCCACTCCATCGCCTCTTTAATTGCGGACCGTGAAGCAATCGAGGGGCGTGATGCAACCTAATTAGAAACTGGTTTCGACGTGCTGCCCTCGCCTTAAAACGGACCGGGACGAATCCGTAGAAAAATGGCACGCGAAACGAGTGAAAGGGTGGAGTGATGCCACGCCGAGTGCATCCATCATTTTCGCACAAATTCCTTCATCCATCAGAGCCGTCGCTACAAATTATGCGAATGAGACGATTTCTCAATCGGTGCTCGAGCCGGGACCGTATCTTCGTCCCGAGGCGACGTCCGTGATTTCTTATTCGTTAGGACGCGATCGGAGTGCAATGGGAGTGCAATGGGAGTGCAATCGGAGTGCAATTGGAGCGCGAATTCGACGGGGAGAGGTCGCCCTCTCGCGGGGTGCAGCTCTCGGGGCGGGTATGAAAGCGGCGGTCGGGGACGGGGCACGCACAGACGCGAGCGTGAGTGAGCCTCACCCACATCTCCTCCCGTGCGTGGAGCCATAGGCGTTCCGAGGACTCGGCGATGTGACCGATTCGCACGTTTCATCCCCAGCAAAAGTCCGCCGTGATGCGAGAATGGCGAGCGAAGAGCCTCAGTGTTGAGGATCCCGTGCGGGCGTGACGGCGTGACAGAGCAACGCGAAACACAGATGACAGGATTAGGGGTGAGTTCTCTCTCTTTCTCTCTCTCTCTCTCCTTCTCTCTCTCGCGATTATTTTCCGACTTTGTGCGAATCGTCGTGTCGGGCGAAAGTCTCAAATTGTCGCGAAAATCATGAAATTGCCGTAAAAATCTTCCCGCATATTCCTGAAAATCGATGTAAAATTGGGCGATCGGGATCCAATCTCCAGCTCGGCGCGTGTCGGTTCCAAACCGATCCCGAAGCTCTTCCGAAATTGCCCTGCATCGCGTGCCCACCAAAATTGCCCTGCAACCTGAACTCGCCTAAATTGCCCTGCATTCCGCGTTCGCCAAAATTGCTCTGCGCCCTGTGCTCGCCAAAAGTGCCCTGCACCCTGTGCTCGCCAAAATTGCCCTGCACCCTGCACTCGCCTAAATTGCCCTGCACCCCGCGCTCACCTAAATTGCCCTGCACCCCGCGCTCGCCAAAATTGCCCTGCACTCCAGGCAGAATCTCCACCCGCCTTTGTGCCGGCGACCCCCGACCCCGTCATGACTAGCACTCGTTCACGATCCCATCCATCCATCGCCCGGAAAAAGGAAAGTACACGTTCAAGCGGTACTTGTCGTAATCGTACTTGGAAAGTACTCGCCGAACTGCGCAACATAGAAGTTAGGAAATTTCTTTTTGTATTTGCAATTATAATTTTTTCGCATCACGGATTTAAAAAAAATCAATTTTTTTTTCACAGACTCACGACTTGACCGGCCGTGAATCCGACTCGCACGTCACGAGCGCGTCGGGATCGTGAGAAGGCATTGTTTCCGTGGGACTGCGCCCTAGGTGGAACGATGTGGCAACCGCTTTGCCGTTTTCGGATTGTCGCAAAAACAAACAGGCCGATTTCGCCAAAAACCCCAGCAATTTGGCAATTCCGACAGGCAATTTTGGCATTCACGGCGCGACCCGACGAGAAAGTCGGGCCTGGACCCATTTTTCACCGGCGATTCGAATCTGTCGGCTGGGTTTCCCACGGCGCCCGCTCCCATGCGGCGTCACGACGTGAATCTTCTCGGCGTGCACGCACAGCGGGGAGGAAACGCGAGAAGGGAGACGCACATTCCAAGGGAAAAAACATCAAAATTTTATTATTATAAAAAAAAGTAAAAATTCGCTGAGGGTGCTGGAGTGTTAATGGGGATTGGGGGGCTAATGGGGGGCTGGGGGGCGGAGGCGTGAGTCCCGGGATCGCATTTTCTGGAAGTCACAAGGAACGAAAATCCATGCAACGAACAAAAACTGAATTTGAAGAAAGCATGAAGAATAATTAAATGTGCGAAAATTAATAAATTTAATAAATTTAAAATTTGAATTTAAATTCTAGCCTTTGAATTTAAATTCTAGCTTTGCGAGGGCGAACTGAGAGAGCCGAAAAGCCAGCGATTGCCTTACGAGGTGGCGTTGCTGATTGCCCTGTCGTGTGGCGTTGCTAATTGCCCTGTCGTGTGGCATCGTTGATTGCCCTGTTTCAAAGTGTTCTCGAACGGAAAGACGTGCGTGCGGATTATTGAGAATCGAGCGTGGCGACCGCCGACGAAGCGAAGTCAAATGGCGAAATGCGAGCACGGCATTCCCCGTGACACCTCCGGACGTCACGGGTGACGTCACCGGGCGGATGACACGAGGAGGAGTGGGAAGCGAGAGGGGACGGGATTCCGCGAGTGGAGCCCGGCGGGTCGGGAGGGGAAGGGAAAGTGGAGCCCGTGAGGCTCCACTTTCCGGTCCGGATTTTTATCCTTGTGCTACGTCGGCGATTAGACGTCAGATACGGATGCCAGGTACAGATGCCAGCTACGGATGCCAGCTACGGATGCCAGATGCTCTCGGGGATGCTGGACTCGAGGTTTCCGTGAGAGGCGCTGGACTTCAGATCATCCACTTTTCCAGGCTTCGGATGGATAGGGAATGAGCTTCGGATGGATAGGGGATGAGCTTCGGGTGAAAAGTCTTCCTCGTTCCTTTGCCCGTTTCTGTCTTCGTGACGCTCGCTGGGAATTCTTCGGCTGGCAGAACGGAATGTTTGCATCACGAATTCCTTTCAATTAGTGTGAATTGACGAAACGGATTGACGAAACGGATGGACACATGGATGGACACATGGATGGACGAAATTGATGGACGGATGCATGGATGAGCTCGCGACCGGAATGGAATTCAAAGATGCAAGTCATTTTCTTCCCGCCAGCGAATTTCGCCAGGCGTCGTGTCACCCCGGGCGGTTTCGTTTCGAGGGTGTTTCGGGGGTGTTTCAGGGGTGTTTCGGGGGTGTTTCGGGGGTGTTTCGATCGCCGGGGAGAGTCCTGCGCGGTCTCCGTTTTCGGGGCGAAACCGGACCTAAACGGGATCGTGGGAGAGAGAAAAAAAAAAGGCGGTTGCACAAGATCCAGATCGCGTGTCTCTCGCGGGTAAGGACAATGGGACGATGGAGATAAAGGGCAGGAGAGAAGAAAAAAGGTCTTCGAAGCGGGAAACCGCTAATGCGAGATTACTGTGACACACACAACCCTGTTTTCTCGTCGGAAGGCGTGACGCAATTTTTTTTTTCTGCGCTCTTCGCGGCCTTCGGGCGAGTTTCGCAAAAGCCGGCGGGCCGCCTTCGTTTTTTTTTTCCTCCTCGGGCCCCCGAAGACGGTTTGAAGGCGGTTGGAAGCACTCCACGACCATCTACGATGCAATTAATCACGGCGATCCTGCATGATTGTGCTATTTGCGCCCGGGGGCCCCCACGGGGCTCTCGGCACCATCAATCCTGTAACGAGGCTATGGATACTTTCGAAACCGTTCTTTGTCGTACGCGGTTAATCATCTCATTAACGTGTAATGATTGTATTTGACGTATTCCCATGATGAAAAGGGCTCCGGAGTTCTTTTTATTGTGCCGGAGCTTCATTCCTTTCTCTTTGCCGCTTAATGTTTCTCCACAATGCGAAACCCCCAGGAATCGGAGAAACGTGCGACTTCTACCATTTTATTTATTAATTAATTATTTCTTTAAAAAAAAAATCCATTGTTTTTTTTCGGATTTATTTTATTCTTTGCATTATTCAATTTTTTGCATTATTTTAATTTATTTTTTGCATTACTTTATTTTTTTGCATAAATATGTTAAATTTCGTGCATCGATGAATTATTTAAAAACGCAATGTCACCTGTAACCTGCAGGCAGTGGTGCTACTGGTGACCTGCCTCCAGGTCCAACCGAAAGCCCTGTCCCCGGTGGACATCCTCCGCCGCCTGCAGGGCTGGAGCGTCGACTACGACGCCGTCTCCTCCCACCATGCGAGAGCGGAGGACTCTCCGTTCAACAAGCCGCTCGTCTCGCCGGCGAGTGGGGAATACGCGCTGGAGCGCGGGAGCATACCGCGGGGCGAGGAGAGCCCCAAGCGGGAGGAGCAGAGCCCTCCGCGGGGCGAGAATCCGGTGAAGGGCTCCGCGAAAGAGAAGGATGGGGCGCGGGAGAAGGGTCCCGCGAAGAAGGATGCGGCGCAGGAGAAGAGTCCTAACCCGGACCGGGGGTCCCGGGAGGCGGTCCAGCCGGACCTGTTCACCTCCGGCAGCTCCTTCCCGTTCCTCCCGCGCGCAGGGGAGAGGAGGGTGATCGTCGACGAAGCCGCCCTCGTCGACCTGCAGGAGAAGCCAGGCGCCTGGGGCATCTCGGACATGGAGGACCTCCAGTACCTCAAGAAGTACCTCTCCCACTTCGATCAGAACTTCGGGGAGAAGATCAGGAGTCACGTGCCCAGCGAATGGGGAGAGGAGAAGCGGTCCGACGAGAAGTACACGGCCGAGACGCACGAGCCGTTCCGCGTCGCGCCGCGATCCGACAACGACACGCTCGTCTTCTACTCCGATCCGCGGCGTCCGTCCGCGTTCCGCGACGTCGCGGTCCCGCTCGCCGTCTCCTTCGAGGACGACAACAGCGACCTCCCGTATCAAGAACCGTCTCTAGTCTGCCGGGCTCTGGGTCGCAGCTATTGCAGCGTGGACGAGGATCATCCCAGGTGAGGATGTTGGCTCGATGCCAATTGAAAGAATTGGCCGGATGCCAATGTTTTCGGTTGGCTGAGTGCCAATTGAAAAAAATTGGCTTGATTTTCCGGTTTTGTTCAATTTTTTTTTTTTTAAAGCGAAATGCCATGTCCATTACGTAAGCGTCGGACCTTCCCGAGGTGACAAGATTGGCTTAATGCCAATTTGTGACGAGCGAAATTTGGCTCGATGCAAGGACAGTTTTGCAACGCGGAACTCCGTGCGCATTACGTAAGCATGTTTCGCGAAATGAAGGACGGGCGCCGCAGTGACATGCGATCCGATGGAAGAAGGATGGACGGAAACTCGGAAAGTTAATGATTGGGATTCCCTTCGCCGTAATGACGGTGATTTCCTTCCGCACCCTAAGGATCGCCGTCCATCACGATTTTTATTTTTTTTTTATCTCCGGCACGCACCACGTGTGAATTGCCGTGACTCGCACCTTCTCCGAAAGGGGACGGGGGGGCAGAGGGGGGGGGGGGGCAGAGAGGGACCTTGGCGTACCGACGCGTTCCACTTTGACCGACGCCCTCCATCGAGGCCGACGCGCTCCACAACGCGGCGGTAGCGAAGAGCCTCTGATCGTTACCGACCGCTCAAGGTCGACAGTGACCTTGTCGACACTTAGCTTCTGGATCCATTCGAGGCCGAAGGACCCCGTGTAAATTAGTGTTTTAATTAACGCAATTAGCATGCGGAGTGGGGGGGGTCGTCGTTAATGCAGCTCGTCAAGGTGGAACGTGACAACTCTCTACGAGACTTCCCGCCGTAATTGGTTTCCCCTTGCCCCCGGCCCCCCTTGCCCCCCTGCCCTCCCTTGCGCCCGTTGCCCCCCATACCCCTCCTTGCCCCCCTGCCCTCCCTTGCCCCTTCTGCCCTCCCATGCCCCCCGGCCCCCCTTTCCCCTCCCTCCCTTGCCCCCCTTGCCCTCCCTTGCCCCCCATGCCCCCATTGCCCTATCTCTGTTTCTGTGGACTCTGGAGCAGTGCCAAGCGAGTAATCCACTTTCCCGTTCCATCTAATCCAATTTTAATAGATCGATTAATCAGCAATAAGGAACGATATGAATAATTAAAGACGCGACTTAATGGACGAAAGGAATGAATCCGTAATGGACACGGATTCTCCCAACCCCATTAATTCCATGAATTAATCGGTTCGGAATGATCCAATTTCCAGGAATCCATTTCCCCCCTTTCTCACGTGTGAATGAAAAGTAGCAAGAATAGCATCCCCCCCCCCCCCTCGCCCCCCCTGCCTCCATAGAGGCGATTTAAAAGAGGATTTAAAGGAAGACTGATGCTTCTTCCGGCGCACGAGACCTCCGACCTCCTTCCACCTCCTTCCTGGAATGACTTCTTCATGCTTAGATCATGCATCCACGCTTCCGTTCAAGATCGCTGCCTCCGAATCAGGCCCACTGCTTAAGGATGCAGACCCCCTGCTTAAGGATGCAGACCCGCTGCTTAAGGATGCAAGAAAAGGAAGGAGAGATGGATCTCCTTGAATAAGTTGGGTCTCCGGGGGCCCTGAATGAGGGGGCTCCAGCCCCATTTCACGGGGCCATTGTGCCCCCCGTCACAATGGCCTCGTGGACCCGTCACAATGGTCCGGTGAACACGATTCCGACTATTGCGATCCGCGTTCGCGAATCCCCAAACATTTCACTCATTTTCAATTGAAACAAGAAAAACGCTTTCCCTCCGCATTTTCTTCATTCGAAACGAAGTCCGTGCAAACATGCGTTCGAGACGAACTAAAAAAAAAAAAAAACCCTGGGGAATCCTTTACGAGCCTGCTTTTCGGAAGAGTGGAGTCGGCCGGGTCGACCGGGTCGGCCAGGTCGGCCAGCGAACGAAAGCACCTGCGACGATTCATCTTCGTCTCCCGCCGCTCTCTTTCCCGACCTTCCCTTTTCTCACGGAAAGAGAGCGGCGAGTTCTTCATCGAAAGACGGAATGATTTTCCCAGTCGACCGGCCCCGACCCACGGCGATGGGAAGTGCCAGTGACCCACGGCGATGGGAAGTGCCAGTGACCCACGGCGATGGGAACTGCCGGTGACCCACGGAAACCGGACCCTCCCGATGAGACCGAAAGCGACGGACGACGCGACGCCCCTCCGTCCCGCGACGAAGGAGGCTCGCACTCGAACGCCCAGAACGCGCTTCCTGCGACCTCGCGTCCGCTCGGATCCTTCCCCCTCCACAGGGCATCCGAGCCTCCCTTGCATCCCGAGCGGCGACCATCCGATACTTCTTCACGAACATCGTCAATATGATTCCCAATATTTATCCATAACTATAAAAAAAACGGTATGGACGACAGCCCGCTGATTAGAAAAGGTCCCTCCTTCCCTCCCCACCTTTGTTTTCTCACACCAATCGATCTCATGAATCGCCCCGTCCCCATCTCGTCTCAGCTCGCCTGTCCTCACCCCCTCTGGCCCCACCTCATTCCACCTCGTTTCACCTCACTCTATCTCCTCCCTCCTCACTTCACTTCATCCTACCCTCATTCCCGTCTTGCGATCGACCAGCCCCAACGTACGAGACTCCCGATCGTTCCCCCAGGCCCCTCGGGTCGTTCCCCCAGGCCCCTCGGGTCGTTCCCCCAGGCCCCTCCGATCGTTCCCCCAGGCCCCTCGGATCCTCTCCGACCAATTGAGATTGACCCAGGCGATCTCCCCTCTCCTTCCAGGGCCATCTTCAAGTGGCTGGACGAGAAGTTCTCGGGGATCCTGTCGAATTTCTCCGTGGCGAATTCCCCCGAGGAACCGGCCGGACCTGTCTTAGCCAGCGACCATCGCCTCCAAGACTCCCCCTGCGAAAGCACCGTAAGTGTCCGCGACACTCCGAGAATGCGCCCGCGAAAAGAAAGGGAGGTGAGAATTGGAACGATTAAATTCCCGGTGCGAAAGGTTCTGTCTTGTTTCCGCTGCATGCCGGACCAATGCTGGACCCAAGCCGGACCCATGCTGGGCCCATGCTCACTCTATTCCCACCTCCCTAATTGCATTATTTTCGGCATACAGCAGGGCAAGATTACCCTATGCTGCTGCTTTAAGATGCCGAAGGAAAAAAAAGTATACACGAGATGCTTCGATTTTGCATAAAGAAATGAAATCCGCAGGACGATTCCTCCGAGAAATAGGGTAATGAAAGAGTTGTGTTTTTCGGTTTGCCAGGCGAGCGACGTGCAACCGAGCTGGATCCGAGACGAGAAGACGGACGAATGGGTCCTGGCCGTGCAGACCATGCCGCTGCAGCAGTGGATCAGGGTGGAGCACTGCCTGTGAGTCACTGGGGGGGCAGGGGGGGCAGGGGGGGGGGGGGGGGGGTTTCCGAGGGGGGGGGGGGGGGTAGGGGGGCGGGGAGGGTGTCCTTTAAGTCGTGATTTTGTTATTTTATGAGGCGTCCCTGAAGTCGGGATTTAATTATTTTATGGTTTTTATGGGGTGTCCCTTAAGTCATAATTTCACCTTCAGGGGATGTCCATTAAGTTATAATTTAATCATTTTATGGGGTGTCCCATAATTTCTAATTAAATTAATTTGCGATGTGTCCTTCAAATTATCATATAATTCCTCGAAGGGGGTGTCCTTTAATAGAATTTAATCCCCTCGCATGGCGTCCTTTAATCGGCTTCCCGTTCGAGTCTGATGAAATCCGAAAGCAATGAAGTCTCTCCACCTGCGTCCGACGCGGCGGCAGCCTTCATTTGTCGCGGATTTACAACAGCTTTTGTCGGTCGCGGATTTGCGACAGCCTTCATTTGTTGCGGATTTGCGACAGAATTCAGCTGCGCCCGATCGAAGCGTTTTCTTCAATGATTGGGGGGAAAAAAATATTGGAACGGTTCGAGGAATCGGACGAACCTTCGCCAAATGCGAATTTAATTAAATTTCAATGAGAAATTTAATGAGAAGGACGCCCACATGCTCCTGAGCCCACAGGAACCATGCTTCTGAGCCCACAAATGTTCGACGGTAGCAATAACGGCACCAAGTCCATTCTCAATATCCAAAATGGCACCAAACTTTCGCATTTTCTTTACAATGAGCCAGAGAGAACCAGAGAGAGCCAAAAGGGGCCAGAAGGGGGCCAAAAGGGGCCAGAGAGACTTTGATCTTGCATTTCAGAGAAAAGGGGATTTGCGTCCTTCTTAAATCTACTTTCCTTCAGTGTCTTCACGAGGCTAAGAAGGAACGTGAACATCTCTCGGTGAAGAAAAAATTATTTAAAAAAAAATCCGTATGAGGCACAGTTTTCGAAATGGAACACTTTAATAAATAAATAAATAAATATTTAAAAGAAAAACCAAAACCCTCAGAGAACCGCTGTTTTAAATGACCCTGGATAAATTCAGCGAAGCCGACTCGGTCGACCCCCGTCCAGATCCGATCGGCATCCATCGATCCGGGGATAGATCGGCGAAAGCTTTCACGGTTTTCCCTCGCCCTCACGGTTTTCCCTCGCCCTCACGGTTTTCCCTCGCCCTCACGGTTCGTTCCGTCGAGGCTCGGCTTGAAATCGTTTTCAAGAAAATTCCTGAAAATTTGAAATTTCGCTCATCTCTCAACTTAACGTTTTCAGATTAAATTAACTCGCGGAGTTTCGATTAGATTGATCAAGAAATAAAGAAAATTACTGATGAAATTAATGCCGTAACGAAAATTGAGTTTCCTTATCCCACGTGTCGTCAATCTCAATTCCGAAAAGAAAAAGTGGGAGATCCGATAAGCAGATATTTTTAGAACGTCTTGAATGCTCCAACTTTAGCTTTTAATCTTCAAAGGAGATCCGAAATGCGATACCTCTGACAAGAGAGTGACGTTAAAGATTTTCGACGAGCCTGCGAGGGGCTCGTCCGCCGGTAGAGCCCTGCACTCCCTCCCGTTCGTCCCCCACGCCGCCGCTTCCCTCTCGGGTGTCTGCCCTCCACCCTCCTTGCCAAGCGGAATGCTTCGGATGTTGCAGGTCGATCGGCGTGCGGTGCCAGTACGTGCTGCCGTATTACCGGAGCGTGTGCGAGGAGAGGAACTCCCTCCATCAGCTGCTGGTCTGGAACCCGAGGAACCCGGAGGTCCTCGGCTTCTCCTTCCTCAAGGCCCCGTCTGGGTGCGGGTGCCACGTCAACGCCTGAGAGATTTTGGTCGTGCGTGGTGACGTGTCGCATGATGTCGGTCGTGTCGTTTCATTTCCTGTTATGTCATGTCGGTGTCTGATCGGTGATTAGCGGTCATCTGCGTGTGCATGTGCCATTCGAGACGAGTTACCACATTGTGTCGAAATATTTGAAGAAAGAGAGATTCTAAGCTCATCCGCCTTTCCCTCCCCGACCGGGAAAAAAGTACTTGACAAAAGAAAGAAAGCGGGACGCGGGTACTGGAATCGTTACGGGACTGCCTGCAGGCCCTGAATCACGTGTTGGGGGAATAAACCACGAAACCAAGGCCGTCGCAATGGGTCCCCGAGAGTCCTTCGAAATGAGGAAAGCCCTCACAATGAGGAAAGCCCTCACAGTGAGGAAAGCCCTCGCGAGGCGTGAAACCGCACTCAACCGACTCTCGAATTCCGGCGAAACGCAAAACCGAAATTGCAACCGACGAAACCAAAACCGGAAGCGTGAAATAAATTTCAGCCTCGAAATTTCCAATTACCTTTTTTTTTTCTAACCACGGACGCGCAGTCGAGAGACCGACGCGAGGTCGAACAGTCGATCCCCCAAATAAAGGACTCCCTTCCCAGTACCTCGACAAAACAAAAATCCCGGTCTAAATTTAGTCCAGCTCGAGGCCATTCAGGTCACGACCGAGCGGACAAAAGGAACACCCCCCTCCCCCCCCCCTCTGTCCATTGTACCCAACCGGGAAAACTCTCTCCACCTGATTTGTCCTGGAAAAGAAAAAAAGGCAGTCGATTTGGCTAACGAGTCCATCGATTTCCGGACGAATTCATTTCCCTCCACCAAACCGATGGGAAGAACGTTTCTCATCCCTCCCTCGGATGGTTCTCATCCTTCCCTCGGGAGGGTCCTCATCCCTCCTGATCCTTCTTTAATGCCCCGTCTCTTCAATATGCCCCGCTCAAATGACCGGGAAACGATGAGACTCCCCCCCGCCCGATGAGGCTCCCCTCCGTCTGATGAGACTTCCCCCCCCACCGTAATGGCTTTCTATATCACTCCATTACGTCTTCCATTACGTCCTCCGGGGGGATTACGCGGTCGGTAGTTCCTCGGGAAGAGATGGAACTAAATGCGAAAAACATGCAAAGGTTTCAATTCGGATCATTCCGATGGTAATGTAGTCTTATGGGTAAGTGCGACGATATGCTACTTTATGTGACAACGCGCTACTAAATGCGACGACACACTATTACATGCGACTACTAGTAGCAAGCTGTAGAGCGCTTACTATTGGAATTACCATTTAAAAAAAAAAGGAAAAGGGTGATCGGACTATGGGGGAAGACGACGATCAAAATGAATCTCGGAATCGCAAACCTGCGAAAAGCCGTAGCAACCAACACTGCTTTATTCCTGGAAAAATGAACTAAATAAAGCGATTTCTCTCGCTCCATCCGCACAGTGAAATGACGTAATACTGCAAGCCGCGACCCCCTGCAATAACACCGAGGAAGAAACGTGATCCGAGAGAGCCCCCCCCCCACACCGCCCCCCCGCACCACCCCCCTGCACTTGCCCCCCTCTTCTCCAACCTGAGGGCAGAAACGGCGAACATGCGACTAACGATCGAATAACGGCAATAACAGCATTCCTGGTCGACCGATATCACAAGCGCGATCGCGAAGGAGGATCAAGATTTTGCACGATCGAGGGCAAGAAGGATTTAGCACGATCGAGGATCAGAAGGATTCTCCACGTTGGAGGGTCGAAAGGATTTTGCACGTTCGAAGGTCAGTAGGATTTGGCATGATCGAGGGTTAGAAGGATTTTGCACGATCGAGGACCAAAGGATATTGCACGATCAAGGACCAGAAGGATTTTGCACGATCGAGGACCAAAGGATATTGCACGATCAAGGACCAGAAGGATTTTGCACGATCGAGGACCAGAGGGAATCTGCACAATGAGAGCAAGCACTCAATCGGAACACCTAGAAAGGAAGAATCCACAGAGAAAATGAAGTGTATCACAGATGAACCCATTTCGTGTCCGCTGGGAAACAACAAAAAGGGTTTTTTTTTTAATGTGGGCAAAAAAAGGGAGAAATTTGCAATTCGTTGAGGAAACCTGGGCACTTGGAGAGCCGTTGTCGTTGCAGCAAAAAAAAAATTGGGAACTAAAATTTGCACTCGTCCGTTTGGGAACAACAACAACAGCGACACGTATTCCAGCACCCTGCAATCATTCTTGCATATTTCAGACTTTGCGAATTCCGTTCCACCTAGGTTGGGTTCCTCGCCGATATTTTTGCCAAAGTGCAAATTCCTATTTCTCGCAGTATTTCGTGTTTTTTTTTTCCACTCTTCAGTCTCGCCAATATCACCGTTTCCCGTTTCTGCACGCTGAGCCGCGCGACTTTTGATTCCACATTGACAAGCACAGAATCGGCGCAAATCCTTTCTTTTTTTTTTTGCACTAGCTCTCGACCTCGTGGCAAACCTCCATGAACGCCGGCGCATGGATGACGTCTTTGATCATGTCCTTCAGGAGGATGTACCGGGGAAAGATCGGGTAGAATCGGCTGTCGAAGTACTCCTCCTGCCGGAACGACAATTCGCTCGATGAGGTCGTCCGCAAATATTTTTCAATAGCTTGCCAACTGCAACAAAATTCTTAGCATTCTTCGCTAAAGTTTGCAATACTTGTTGGAAACGTTGTAAAACTGAGAAAGTAGCGAATTTCAACGAAAATTGTTGCTGAAAAGTTTATTTTTTTCCAATTTTTGCGGCGACTTTTTTCCCCCTTAAAGTTGCACAATTTTGCAGAAACTTAATTTTTCGGAAAAGTTGCAAAATGTTCCGAGTTTACCTTGAGGCCCCGGATGACGAGTCTGAGGCTGGAATACTTCTTGAGAAGGCGGTATAGGTCGTTGATGAGCTGGCTGTTCTCATTGTCGATCTCGCCCGTCGTCATCACTGAGAGGAAGAAAAAGAGAGAGAAAGGAAACTAATCGCTGGAAGCTTGATTCCGACGAGGAGTCTCATGGAGATGGGATCAAAGGCAGGAAAATTACATCGGGTTCGGTGGAGCCTGAAAAGAAAAGAGAGAGAGAGAGGGAAAAAGGCAGAAAAAAAGGCGAATCGATGGCCTTCGTCCACTGTGAAATCGGGGCTTTGGATATTTCCCAAGCGGGACCCGGATAGGAACTTTTAATCTTTGTCCCCATCGTGGCACGTTCGAGGAGCCCGACGAGATGAGGCGATCGCAGTGCCACCCTTCGACAGGTAGGAATGTTCGCGAACTTTCCTTCATTTCCCCACTTGCAATTCGCAGGGAATTATGTGTCTCCCGAAAACACCCATCGCCAAGAGTGCATTCCTTATCAAGGATCGACCAGAAACGACTACTAATGATGCCATAGAAAAGCATTCCTCTCATTCATGCAGTGGGAGACGAGTGCATGCATAAAGGCGGAAAAGGGCCTGCTAATGAGAACGGCTCAGGAGAAGGTGACAAACGGACAGACGCGAGAGGATGTCAAAGAGGACTAGTCAATTAAATCCAGCAGCGAAGCGTGAGGCAGAGACGCTCCTCCGGGCTAATCCGGAAAACTCGCTTCTAATCCAGCAGGATGTGAGCATGCGGGGATGTGAGCATGCAGGGATGTGAGCATGTCGAAGATGCGATCTCGCCGGGGATGTGAGCATGCCCAGATGGCGAGCATGTTGTAGATGTGAGCATACTTGGGATGTGAGCATGCTGCGGACGCGAGCATGCCAGGTTTGCTCACACGCCAGAGAATTTGACCAATCAGAAGAGATCCATCTTCCGCCTTTTTTCCCTCGTTTGCATACGCGATCGTTGTGAGAGCAATCCATCATGCTCGTCACATCATCAATCATCATCATCATCCATGGAAGGGGACGTCTCATGCATTTCCTCGCTAATGGCGAGAGCGCAGGTGACATCCGGGGGAAGACTTGCTGCAGCGTGGCGACAAAGAAAGACTTGCTCCTCGATTTCCTCTCTCACATGCAATATACGCGGATAATCGCATTCGAAGCCGGTCCCTCGACCCCCCAATGACGTCACTGCATGAAATATTCCCCTGGAAATGAGAGGGGGACCCGGCTTCAATTATCGCCGAGGAAATTCCTGTTTCTTTTCCCCCTCATCCGATCTCCTTTGGCGGCGGAGAGGCAAATCCTCTGGATCCCGTCGAGATAGGCTTAGCAGTTGCACTCAAATCGATTTTGTGCCGCGGAGATCTTGGGTATGTCCTCTGGGAAAATTGGTGCAGTGGCGGATGGATTCTTCGATGGTTCTAGAATTAATTATGAAAGAAAAGTAATGAAGAGAATAAGGAAAATGAAGAGAAAAAGAGGGAAAAAAGAAGAAAAAAAGGAGATAAATTAATTCTAATGAAATTAATTTAAAAAGTTTCCAAAGGGAGCACAAAGGGAGAAAACAAAAACAAAAGTTAGAAAAGAGTATTAAAAAATCCAAGATTTGTGACTCCCGAGAACCCAGAAATCCCTCGAAAGACCCAAAAAGGACCCAGAAGGACCCCCAAGGAGACCGTTCTCACCGTCGAGCCTGGCCTGAAGCTCCCGTCGCCGTTCCTCCTCCTCCGCCACCTTGGCCGAGGTCTTGAATCCTTCACCCGCCTTGGTCAGGGTCTGCAAGGTGGCGCACGCCCGGAGCACGTAGGCGCTCACCGCCTCTTGCTTCTCCTGGCGGGGGATGTCCATCAGCGCCCAGTATTGGGCGTCCAGGCGTACCACTTCCTGAAGGGGCACGATGCCGTTCGGTCACACCTTCATTGCATTTATCGAGATTCGGTACCGACACGGATTGAGATTGGATTTATGTTTGGTACCGATTTAGAGTGAAGTCGGATTAAGATTTGGTACCGAATAGGATTGAGATTGATCCGGTTTAGATTGGATAGAGATTCAGAGCCAATTAACCGTGAGAAGTTCTGTTAAGATTGATCTCAGCCGATTGATCACCACTGATCCAAATTGATCCTCGTGTATCCGATTGATCCCTCCTCGTTCGGGGATTTCAATCGATCCTCATCGATCCCCACGAATGTCGCTCCGGTCAAGCGGCACTTGCTTTCGTGGCAAGTATTTCTCGTGAGAGCCGGCATCGCGATGGTGCACGCGTGAGAGTTCAAGAGTCGTCATTATCGGTGACACAACATTTCATAATCGCCTACACGAAACGCATCCATCGACTTAGGAGTAAGCCCGGCGGCGAGGGAGAAACAAGAGTAAGGATCGCGTGGGATCGCGCCTCTTTAAGAGAACTGGTGCGTCAGCATCGCCTATGAATGAATTATTCATCCGCCTAAAAGTGGAACAGACCGAGAAATCGAGGTTAGTCGAATCGTGATTGGACGGTATTGGATCGAATTGCCAATTGTGCCCGAGTTCATTCGCCATTCCAGATCTCCTTCCAAAGTGCAGCTTTAATTTTTTATATGCAACTTCCAGCCTTTTCTTTTTCGTCTCAGAGCAATTTAAGTGTTTTTCTTTGCCAAATTTTTTTGCTATGCTCTATTTTACAGACACCAGCCGTAGAGGCCGTGCACATTGATACATGGTCCGAGCACGGTTCAACCCTTAGGCAAATCGAATTCGCGTTCTTTAGGGAAATCGGTCCAAGTCGGCTTCCGGTTTTTGTGCTTTTAGTACTTGTTGGGTACTGAAGTACCTCCAGTACACGTGGAGTACTAAAGCCCCGAGTCTCTCGGGTGGACTCGGCAGGTGCACCAGCGTCGGTGGTCACGCGTGAGCGTGCACGTGAGCAGTGAAAGTCGGCATCGCTCTAGCAGTCGCATCTAGAATATTGCTGAATTCGCACGCAAAAATGCCAATATTTGCGAGCAGATTTTCCTCCCGCCGGAATGCTCTGCCGAATTGACTTAATCAAAACACGAATAGCAAAAATTTTCGCACTAAGCGTCACGCGTGAGTTTCACATACCGATATTTCTAATTAACTTAATTAGTTATAAATTAACTATTAAAGTTAATTAGCTACTTAACAGTTCCCGAATCGCTAATTGAAATAATTAGCGATTCGAGAACTGTTTCAGTCTCTTTCCTAGGTCAAATGCGAGCTGAGGAACTTTAGAAAATTTACTTTCGTGAGTTAAAAGTCGCGAATGAACAGGGTTTTTCGCTCGAGGTCCGTTTGGGAGTGCAGGAAATGAACGTGGGCATCGATGCCCACACGACATGGGCATCGACGCCCACACGACATGGGCATCGACCTCCAGATGCCACTTGCGACTCATCGATTGGTTGCTCAACATTTTATCGCTTGCCAGTCGATCGCTTCTCTGTCGGTCGCCTTTCAATCGATCGCTGGTAAATTAATTCTTGGCGAATTCCGTTAGAAGTTGATTAATAGTAAATTACTTAATTAGATTCCTCCCGTGCCGTCACGTCCGCCTTCGGCATATCGGGGGGGAAAATGTCATCGTCGGGATAAAAGTGGTCGGTGCAATTCGGAATCATCCCGCCTCTTCCCAGGGGACTGTCCCTCGTTCCGGAATGCGAAGTCTGGCGACTCCGAGACTGGAAATTGCGTCGAAATGCGACGTCGAGTGGGGGGGGGGGGGGGGGGGNGGGGGGGGGGGGGGGGGGGGGGGGGGGGGGGGGGGGGGGGGGGGGGGGGGGGGGGGGGGGGGTCGATCCGGAGTCCTAAGATCGACTGGTTGCCTCCAGGGAAATCCGGAGCGGGGAATACGGAATCCGGAGTGGGAAATCTCAATTTTCATAATTTGACCTCAACTCGAACGCAGCCACTAACGAGAGGCTCCGATCGCCATGGCAACCGACTTATGGCTCAGTTGAGCGAACGGAAGGAACAGAAAAAAAACTTGCCATTAAATGGATTGAGATTGAATTAGAGATGGATGATTAAATTTTGAAGAAGGAAAAAATATGCTTGAGGCTTTCCTTCGTTAGCAAATCATACGCCATCTCTCATGGAGCCCTCCGCAGGAAGATAAATATTTCAGCCGTGACACTCGTCGCAGGATTCGACAAAGTGTGAACAAAAAAGAGTCTCGTCGGCTCCGCCTCAGACAGATAAAAGAAGAGGAAAGAAAAAGGATGGAAGTCGGAAATCACGCAAGAGAGAGCCCAGAACTGTCACAATTCCTCATTCGGGCATGAATTATGGAAAAAGCCTCCCAGCCCTCAAAAAAAGGGAGCGCTCGTTTTCGTGCTCGAGTTCCCCGGATCGTCGCATTCGTTCGACGACTCCCGTTTCCCCGGGAAAGCAACTTTTAATCGGAAGGAAAACTTGCCACTCCGGCCCCGAGGAAACATTTCCGCAAATGTTAGTCTGTGCCGCCAGACGAGTGGGATTTGAGAGCCACTCGAGAAGGACGCCGAGAATTTCCGACGGTTTTTCCCCCTCCGATCCGAATTCGCTCCTGAATCTTTCAGCATGTCCGATCGATTCCCGTTTCCCTGTCCTTCCACCACCCTACCATTCACCTCCCTGTCATCCTCCACCCTCTCCTCCCACTCCCCTGCCATCCACCTCCCTGCCATCCACCACCTTCTCCTCCCACTTCCCTGCCATTCACCTCCACCTCCCAACTCACCTTGATCATCGCCTTGAGCAAGGAATACCTGTGGAACACATTCTTGACGTTCTTGCTCTCTGCATACTTGTTCTGCAGGTTGATGAGCGCGTGCCTGGCCGTCTCGTAGCTCTCCTCCACTTTGGCCCTCACGAAGCGGAGCTGCTCGTTCGTCTGGATGTTTTCCTCCCGGCCCCGGCCACCTACGGCCAACCAGCCACTCGACTCTAAACGCTTCTACGGTCTACGTTAACGTATCGACTACGCCGGTGGTACACTAAGGCACTACCTGCACTAAGATATCATCTACCTTGACTATGGTACTGTCAGTGCAAAGGAGGTATGGTCTGTACAAAATATCAATTAAGCAATGCACTAAGATATTGCCTGCATTAAGGTGTTGTCTACTCGGTACAGTGAGATAGGGAATGCATCAAGGGATAGCCTACGCCGATTCCTAACACAAACCTTTTTCTACACGTTCAGCTCTGCCATACACCTCCGTCTTATACAACTGATTCATTGGCAAAACCAGAACCCATTCCACCGAGGATAAATCTACTCTACGCATATACTAAGGTACGAAGGTCATAAGTGGCTGCCCGCTGGTTCGATGGGCAAACAAGATTACGCTACACTGCCAGCACGAGCAACACGAGTTCGTAAAGGTCCTACTCTATAAATAGGGCATCGCAAAAAAAGGCGGGTTACCACGAGCTACTGATGGAGGAATCCAGAGGAACGCCAAGGCCCCGAGAAATTCGGAATGGGAATGGAAACGAAGCAGAAAGAGGGCAAAAGTGACTCTTCGCCTCGTTGAAAGTTGGAAGCCCTCGACATCGGTAATGGAATTTAAGGTTCCCTCGAGACGCCTCGTGGACGGGGAGCAAAACGTCGACTCGATTGCATATTTCATGAAGGTCCCTGTTTGCCTGGTTGCGGAATTTTTAGCAATTCTCCCGTCGCCCGCCGCCCGCATACGACTCGGATATGCATATTCCCAGGATTCATTGATCCCCCATCGACCCGCTTAGCGAGGGGGTGGGGAAGAGGAATCTTGTAAGGAGCCAGATTTATGGGCCAAGAAACCTTCTCCCCTCTTTCTCTTTCTTTCCCCCCCTCACCCCCCTCCCCCCTGGGTCCAGACTCTCCCCGCATCTGTCTTTGCACTTTCCTCTCCAGGGGGTTTTTCTTTCACCCTCAGCAGAGGCTCCTTCGACCGCTTCAGTTCACAAAAAGTGCAAGATCGAACGGAGGACAGTAAAAAGGAAAGGATGGAGGAGAAAGAGGGGAGGGGAAGAAAGAGGGGAGGGGGAGAAAGTGGGGAGGGGAGAAGGAGGGGAGGGGGAGAAAGAGGGTGGAGGATGACAGGGAGGTGAATGGTAGGGTGGTGG